TTTCGCAACAACAAAATTTGAATTCAGAATTTTTAGGGAGATTCCAAGTTTTCGATTTTATGCATTTTTTTCATATAAAATGTGTTCAAAAATTTTTTAAATGGATGATAATGTATGACACCATCAGAAAAAAATATGAAAAATCATCGGGATATTGCAGAAACTTGCACTTTTATTTAATGGACTACAAAACTGCAAACTTAGAATCATTCCAAAAATTCTGAATTAAAAGCTTGTTGTTGCGAAAACTTACTTTTCGTACTGCGTATTCACAATAGCATTCAGCGGTTTGTAACTATTTCTCGCGGTCCCTATTTATTTATATTTTTAGTACTTTTAATTTTCACTTTTTGTAATTTTTTCATCTATAACGTGGTATGTGATTTTTTGTTATATATTGACATTTTATGCTCAATTTCTATATTTTATGATTCTTCCAAAACAGGATGAATTGTGCCAAAATTGCATCTGAGAATGAAATTGCCAAAAATTGCACTATTGTGCCTACTTTTCCATCACTGGCCCAGCCAGCAAAAAATCCGAAAATTAATCCGAAAACGGGAAGAAAAGGGTACGATTTCGGCTATTTTTCATAAAATTTTCTGATTCAATTTTTCACAAGCGGCTTTACAAACCAAGCTGCAAGCCATTTGTGTTGTGTATGGGGTTTAACGAGCCGCTGAAAGTAATTTTAATAAAATAAAATTTTTTTTTGATTTTCTGGCCGCCATGTTGAAGTTTGATCAAACCGGTTGCGTTGTATATGGAAAGTGTAAAGAATTTGCCCGCACCACTAGTATACTCCAGCCACTAACTGCATCCCAGGCATACGCTCCCGGCACCCCAGGGTGCTGCGGCACCCACTTTGGGTAAGCCTGGTCTAAGCCACTAATATTATTAGGTGGAGTGATATATTTTCTGTTGAATAATTTTGTAATTCATAGGAACAGTAGGAAGGAATAGATTTGTATGAGATTTCGGTAGCGTATTAATATATAGATATTAGACTGCACCACTCCCCATACAAAAAAAAATCGGTACTGTTTTTCCATTGGGATTATAAAAAGTATTATATTTTAAGACGTCCACCAAAACATTTCGAAAAAATATTAAGATTTAAGTGAGCTGGACCGTATTGAAAATACCTCCAAAGACGGAGTTTTTTATGAATACAAATAGTTTCTTAAAGATTTTTTTTGAAAAAATCCCCTCAAATAACAAAACAGTTTAAGCTTAAAAAAATTGCGTAAAAATATTTTTATAAAATTTAAAAAAAAATTTAAACGGAATCGTAATAATGCGATTTTTGATGCTGTTTTTAACTTTTTTCAAAGATTGGTATAAGAAAAACTTGAATAACTGAGCCTAAACTCTCCCGATTTAGACTTGTGAGATATCATTGGAAAGGTATTTTCTCACCCTTTTTATTTCTTTGCTACTAAATTCATTCAAAGGATGAAAGAGAAAGGTAGAATGAAAGAATATCATTCAAAGTTGAATTAAGATGTGTTGGTATTTGAAAAAAAATATATATTGGGACACGAATACCTTTCTACCGGTTTTGTCATCTGGGGGGACTTTTTTCAAAAAGTTCTTTAAGAAACTATTTTTATTCATAAAAAACTCTATTTTTGGAGGTATTTTCAAATCGGTCCAGCTCGCTTAAATCTTAATATTTTTCCGAAATAATTTGGTGGACGTCTTAAAATATAATAGATTTTGTAACGCTGGCGGAAAAACCGCAACTTTGTTTGGTGACGCAGTCTAATAGATATATATAGGTATATTTCTATTAATGCTATCAATACGTATTTTGAATTTGAAGCAAATCGGACCATACATGAAATTTTTCGGAGTAAATCGACTCCTGCTCCACCTACCGGGAAAATAATGCGCACCTCCTCTTTGAAACACCTTTCGAACAAAAGAAAATCAATCAAATCGGTTTAGAAAAATAGGAGTAGTAGGGATTATGGTCCAATCCGTATGGTCGAAAAAGGGAGAAGAGAAGGAGAACCAATAAGGCGCCCCAATTTATAGCAGTCGCATGGCCACATAGAACTGCCGTAAGTTCGAAAAAGAGGGTGGCTGCGTTCTCTTTAGCAGAGGTGTATTTTAAGTGCGTAAGTCGCTTAAACATGGTGCCCCCGTTGCACCGGTGCAAGGGATTTCTGTACTCGTTCCAATGTCTTTATGGCTTCTTCTACGGCCCGGCGGGTTGGATTAGTAGGCAGATTGGCCGTGGTTCGCTCGCCAGGTAGTGGACGATGTAGTAACGAGTGGTGTGGTCGGTCACAGGGTTTACAGTTGTCGGGCGATGTGCATTGTGTC